GTGGTCGTTTTATAGTGCAACTTAGTAGGAAATACTAAGGAATGGTGGGTAGATAGTAGAGCTACTCACTACATTTGTACATACCGTTAAATGTTCTCTACCTGCAAGGCTATGGATCGTGATGAACGAAACTATATGAAAAACTATTGACCTTCAAAGTTGAAGGACATGAAAATATTTTGCTAAAAAGTACAAGTAGAAAGGAGCTCAAATTGAATGATGTTCTTAATGTACCCGAGATTTGTAAGAATTTGGTATTCGGTCCCTTGTTAAGCAAGAAAGTGTTCAAGTTAGTCTTTGTATCAGATAAATTTGTACTTATTAAGAATGAAATGTTTGGTATTAGTTTTAATACTTTGTGTAGATTAAGGCCCTGTTTGAGCTAAATTATTGTAGAATGAGAATGAAAAATATAATCGATATTGGGGCCCACATAAGAGATAAAAAATTTGAATTTAAATGTTGATGTGATGAATAACGGTCATATTTTTCATTTTAATGAGATAATAATGTAGATCAAACGGGGGCTAAGTCAATTCGATTTATTATCGAAACTTAGATCCTAATTATAAATGCTAAAATATGTGTGGAAGCTAAAATGGCTCAACTATCCTTTCATTCCGTCGAAAAAAATACCCACCCCCAAATTTAATTCACACTAATATATGTCATTTAAAGTTTGTTCAAATTTGGGTGGTCAAAAGTATTTTATTACTTTTTATCGACGATTGTACTCGATATTGCTATATTTATTTACTCAAAAGCAAAGATGAAACAATTGAAGTTTTCGAACACTATAAATTAGATGTTGAGAATCAACTTAGCAAAAAGATTAAAGTAAAAGAAGTTATAGAGGCAGTGAATTCTCCTTTTGAGCAATTATGTTCAAAATATAAAATTATTTATCAAACAATCGTGTCTTATTCTTCTCAATCTAAGGGAATTGTTGAACAAAAAAATCAAACATTGAAGGAGATGATGTGTACTATGTTAATAAGTTTTAAGTTACCGTAGAACTTGTGGACGGATCATAAATCTAGCTATTAATACTTCAAGGTATGAGGATGTTTGGATAAAGTAGTTGTTCCTAAATCTAAAAAATTTAAGATAGAACATAAAATCATTGATTGTGTATGCATTGGTTATACCTAGATATTAGTGAGTACAAATTTATTGTATATAAGCTTGAAATTCTCGATGTACATGATAATACGATTATTGAATTAAGTTCTGTTCATTTTTCATAAATAGTTTTCCTATAATGTGAAAATTAATGAATTAAATTCACTGAAAAAACATCTAGATAATGAGGAGGTTGGAGATCAAGAATCTATACTAGGATGAACCTAGTCGTAGTAAGAAGTCTAGATAAATAACCTCCTTTCTGTCTGACTTTCTAATGTATTTCCCTACTCTCTTAAAAGAGAGGGTTTGAGGTTCACTTTTCATTCGTGATTTTCCCTCACAGATCACTGTTGCATGTGTAGACAAAAATTCCAATTAGCCTTCCAGCAGGATTTATTGACTTTGGAGTACTTCAATTTCCCATACTCTTTTTTTGTAGTCGGTTGAAGAAAGAATTGATTTTTTTATAGTCAGTTCGCATTTTTAAAATCCGTTTGTATTGGTTATTCCATTCTGGTATCGTCCTCTCCAGCTTCTACAATTTTACTCCATTACCGTCCTCTTGAGTTTGTAGAAATAAGAAATTTTCCTGAACAGG